CAAAGTTTGTGTTGTTAACTTGCTTGCTGCCATTTTGGACGACAGAGAGATCAAGGGTTTTAGAGAAAAAGGTGAGTGAAACACAGGTATCAAAAACTGTTTTCAGCCACCTTAAGGACGTTCCCGGTAATTGTTTCTGCGCATCCTTACTGCGCACGCAAATTCTCACACCACGTCATGCATCGAGCGCGCGCTAAGTAATAAAATGATCGATGATAGGGCGGATGGCCATTGCTGTAGCTTTGCCTGGATTTAATGATCTTGGACGTTCGGTGACCCCTATTTTTGTTTTGATGGATCATTTTCTCGACCGATTTTCTACATTTAGCGAGAAAATGAAGAAAATCTATCGACTAGAAGTTTAAATTTATGGAAAAATGTACCCTCGAATTGGTTCTTGTTAGCTCTTGGTTTTATACCTGTGCTCCGGTTTCAAATGCCTCTTGAAGGGTTAAGTTTTGTGAAAACGTTGGCAACATTTGGAATTTTTTAACAGACCCACTTCTACAAAATTTGACTAAGATCGTTTGCCTCCATTGACTCACCTTCGATATTTTTAACTACTAAACCACAGTAGACCATGCTGAATTACGTAAGCCAATTTTTTAAATTCAGGGTAGTTTTCCCCGTGCTTTATCTCTGAAACGAAGTGGGTGGCCCCCAATTTTGCATTTCTGACACAAGTGACTCATTATCTGACTCCTGTAAAAATTAAAAAAAACCATCGATTGGAAAATTTTTGTTTGAGCGTCCTTAAGCTTGTGTTTCCTCCAAAATTCGAAGTGTGTCCAGTGTTAAAGACTCTGTCCCAGGGGAGATTTGTTCGCTGGTGGTGTACAAATTTCTGTGTGCTAACTGAGATTGAACCAACTGAAGGATCGAGCGACCAACCTACCTGCCGAGATGTTTACCTGCCAGTCAGCTGGTTGAGGGATATATTGATTCCATTGATTAGATTCAAGGTTTTACAGGAGTTTCTTTTAAACCCACTGTAGGACACTGACAAAGACTCGTGGAAAGAGATGTTTGAAACCCCGCCAGAACTGCTCAACGAGGTATGCTTAATTACTAAATTCTGCCGACTTATTATTACTTCACTTACCCCCTCGTTTATTCCATGCTTACCATCTCTCATTAATAGTACACTCAAATCAATTCTACAGCACCTACCTCTCAACAACGGCCAAATTTTTTGGTCCCGGCGGACAGTCCATACATTCACTCTAATTGCATTCGAAAGAACGTAGTTCTAATCAGGTAATGGAGGAAAATTGAGTTTTCCTGTGGACACCAATTTGGCCTCCCCCAAAAAAATTCTTCAGGGGCGAATGAGGTCATCTCCATTTTCGTCCATGTGCTTTCTTTCGAGTGTTGTGCAATATTGCGGACTTTCGAGCGTTGAGACAGCTTACTGTGGACTGTAGCGGATAAGTTGTTTGAAGTCAGTGTTAATGGCATTTAAAAACCTTGCAGACATGTCTTCACGCGTTGTGCACCCTCTTCTCTTCGACCAAATGAAAACCAACGCTGCTTTTGAATTGTGTACTTTTCACTTCACTGGCCTAGATTTCTGTGCGCAAAATATGTAACATAAACCTAACGAAAGTGTTACCATGGGAAAAGAGTTCTCGCACAGGATTACTTTGGTACACCAACATGTCCTCCGTTTCATTGTTTCGGAAGTGAAAATGCTCAATAGCAATAGTTCGGTAACTGCATAATTGCCTAAGTTTTGGTAAAAAAAAAGCACGTCGTCTCGCATACCGTCGGAACTGGCATCGTTTGTGTCAATTTACACGGTCCAGAATCATAGGTTTCCGGTCAGTATAAAACATTGGACCGCAGACTACGGACTGGGTATAAGACACGAACTGAGGTATAAAAGGTGGACTAAGCATTACGGACTGGATATAAGACATAGACTCGTGTATAAAACGCAGAATGTGGACTAAATGCTGCCTACCGACTACAGTCCTTGTTTTATACTGACCGGTCGAAACTAATATTATGTAATTCACGTACAAATGAGAACAAACCCTCTCGTGTGTACGTGCTTTGCGGTCAATTCATTTGCTCTCGCCCCTCCTAGAGGGAAGCCAATTTCACGTCTGCTTCAGGATTGTTATAAAAGCGCTATGTCTCAGTTGGATAAGTAGACTCTTAAATAACACTCATGACACCTGGACGGCAATCCCTAATTACTACTTCGATGAACATGGCGGACTCCTTTTTCTTCTAAACTGTAATTACAGTGTCGTGAAATTAGATAGAAAAATCCCTCTCTTTTATCGAGAACTCCTTGATCACTTTCAAGAACTGCGTAGCAATTACGAAGATCCCTTGAAACGCGAATTCATTCTGTGGAACAACAGAGATATAACTATAGAAAACAAATCGGTCTTTTGGAAGGCGTGGCGGGATGGCAATGTTCTTTTTGTGCAAGATTTGCTGAACAATCAACGTAATTATCTTTCACCACAAGAATTCAGCGATAAATATAACATCAAAATTAAAGCGCACCTAACCCCAAATTTTTTTTCCATAAAACGAATCTAGACTTTATTTGAAGCATTTGGGCGAAGAAATTTTTGAATTTGGTTGAATCCTCGATTTTCTATGCCCTTTCAAAGTCGCGCTTGAA